CCTTTTGGTTTCATCTTCTTCCATCTTTGGAAGAACACGTCCTTCCTCTGGATTCCCATTACTTCTGCCCTGCATTGCTCTGACAGCACTCACCACTTCATAATCTTCATTTTGGATTCCCTTTTGGATCATCTTCACTTGCTTCTCCAAAACAACCCTCCACTATTCTCTACTCCTCTGTGCTACATTCTGTACCCCAGCAGATGGACCATTTCTCTTATTAACCCACTCCCAACAGATTTTCTACTCTACACCACTCAACTAAAATAGCTCTTGCCAAGGTCATGATGGCCTTCATCTTGCCAAATCCAGTGACCAGTTCTCAGTTCTCATCTTTCTCACCCTCTTGACAGCATTTGCCGTGGATGACCCCTCTCTCCTTCCAAAACATTGGCTTCCACTTTCAGATACCACATGCTTCTGTGTTGTCACGTACTCCCCTGCTCCTTTCTAATGTCCTTTGCTGACTTCTCCCCTTCCTATCCCACCTCTACCCAACCCTGCTTTCTCCATGAGGACCATGGTTTTGACAGTTGGCACATTCGCCTTCCTAAAACCACTGCTTCTGTGTCATGGCACCTCACTCACAGCTACCACTCTCATCAGAATCTGGAAACACCACCCCCTCCTCTTACCCCAGCAGGCCTGGAGGTGGTAAAAGTTTCCTACTGTTGCTAGACACTGAATGCTTCTCCACCCCTTGTTGGCTCTCTTAATCCAGCCCACACTTCTATAGACAGTCCCTTCAATAGCTCTCTTCCATAAATCCTTGGAGAGTGCTATTCCCTGCTAGGACCCTGACTAACACACTGCTTGATTTTGTTTTGCCACTTACCTCCCATAGTAGCTTATAAGGCCACTAAGAACAATGTCTGTGTTTAATTCTTCTTTTCTCCCCAATAGTGCTTGCTGTCCAATTGGGACAAATAAATGCTGAAATAAAATATTCTTTCTTATTAACTGCCTTCAACATGAACACAAAATGAAAGTGATACAAACATTAGAAAATACACACACAGACACACACACATACACACACACACACACATAACACACGCACACATCTGTCAGAAAGCAAAGGAAAAAGAATGAAATAATGCTAAGTGCTGACTTTATGGGTTTTGCCTGATTCCTCAAATTCATAGTTTATTCAAAATCCATATGGAACAGGCTTTTTCTTCTCCAAGCCCAGAAAAGAAAGACAGTTATTTCTGTTACAATAGAAATCAAAGTCCAAATAACCGAGAAGCAGGGAAGCCTCATGGTTGACCAACAGGAGGATCTAAGAAACAGAGGGTGACAGGAATTGCATCCAACCCTATGCAAGAGATGGGCTTTTGGGAAAAAAGCTACTCTGTGGGGTCCCAACTTTTGGGAGTCTTTATCCTACTTTGCTTGTTTCTCTCTCTTCCTATTGTGAGCTACATTGCCACCCCTTCCCTAACAACCCTGATCCCACTGCTCCAATGCCAGCCAAGTGGGCCATATAAGGATTCAGGGCAATAAGGTGAAAGGAGAGGAAGAAAAAAGAAACCCCATCATCCCTCATCTGGCCCCAGTGGTGGTCTTCTTATCTGTCTCCCTAAGCCACAGTCTTCAGGCCATCCTCTATCACCTATAGACATCTCCTATTCCCCAGGAACTGGACCAAAGTATTCTTTTGAAATAAAGAAGATTCTGATTTTGATCTTCTATGGATCCAAGGGTCCTCCTTAGACATCTGTATCTGCTTTTGCTTCTACGAATGAATCCAAGTATAAAAAAAGACATTGTTGTTTATGTGTTGGGGGAGGTGTGTAGATGATTACCTTTAATCTCTTTCGCATATTTCAAAAACTTTTAGAGACCTTCAAAAAGGATAACCTGGATGTCCAAGTGGATGACCAAACACCCTACCCTCTCAGTTCATTGAACTCCTCATCCCCAATGATCTTCCTTTTACACGATAGCAAAGCCACCCACTCCCTGCAACTGCTCTACTTTTAAGATCGTCAGTCATGCTGTCTCTATGCAGACCTCATACTTTTCCACCAACTTGCTCCATCTTTCTTCAATCTCACCAGCACTTCCCCCCTAAGAGTCCCCTTCTATTCTCTCTCCTCTGTATGTGCCTCTGATTCCATGGTTCATCCTTTGGGGAAGGCTTTTGCAAATATGGTAAGTTCCCTTGGTCCTTTGTCTATCTGTGGTAACTCCCTGGCACTAAATAAATAAATAAATAAATAAATAAAATAAAACCATTAACCTGAAATGAACCTCACCCCTCAGCTCCCCCCATTCTGTTCCTGAACAACTGAATGCCACACATCAGTCAGACAGGAATCTTGCTAAATTCAAGGTCACCAATCTCAAGAGACTCTCAACATTCTCAGCATCAAGAAGTACTTGCAGAGGGGGGGAATGTATAAGGAAGGAACTGGGGATTCTAAAATGAAGACCGTGCATGCAGGTAGAGGAGCCAACAAAGAGACAAAGCAGAAGAGAACCAGATGAGAAGAGTACACTGGAAGCAAAAAGAGAATTTCAACAAAGTTTGACTGCCATTGCCTCTTGTGAGCAACACTCTTTTTTTTTTTAAGATTTTATTTAGTATTTATTTGAGAGAGAGCACACAAGCAGTGGAGAGGGGGTGGAGAGTGAGCAAAACTTTTATTTTTAGGAGTCTGCCTTGTGCCACCCTGTTGATGACAACTGTTATGGATGAAGAAGCAAATTGTCCTGGGGACCCTTGGCATGTGCAAGTGTGTTGAAGTCGGGCTTTTGTTTCCTCGTCTGGTACAAAGGAATCTCCCTTACCTTCCCCAGGAGGATGTTGGGAGGATATGAATGGGTGGGAAGCAAAGGCATTATTGCAATAGTAATGAGTGTATGAGGTCAAGGCAAGGCTGACTCTGTTCTCAATAAGAAACATTGTGATTGTGAACAAAGGCTGTGGGTTGTTTTTTTTTTAAATTTGTTTGCTCTTATTTTTTTGATGCTAGACAGTTGGAATGCCAAGGGCAGTTCTGTGCCAAGCCACAAAAATGAAAGGCCGGGATTTCCCCTAGGACATCAGCTTCCACACTAGCTAAAGGCCAGCACAAAATCTTCCCTAAGGTAGCAGTTTAGGAACTTCCTGTTGGTTTACATTTCAAACAGATTATATTTAATTTTCACCTCACCAGTTAGTGCTCAGAGTGAACAGTGATATGGTCAGGAGACCGACAGATGGGTCATTCTGCTGAGAACTGAACCAGCGATCCCCCGGCTACTAGTAAGTACTGCTTGGTTTGAATGTTTTAGGTTCCCAAGGCTGTGATAATCTGAAATATTAATTGAGCAAAATTGCTGTTTGGGGTTCTTGGTTCATAATTGTACAGTCAGAAGGAAATAGGACCTCTTGGTATCACACCGATCAAATCCCAAATGACATTAAAATAAACAGGTTATAGATAATGATAGTGGGTCGATTCTCCTGAATAGATCAAAGAGATAAATCTGAAAGGCTTTTTTTGTTTGTGGGCAATGACCAGAAATGCAAGCCGAACTATGAAAAGATTTAATTCTTCTTTCTTAAATAGGAAAAGCAAAGTGGTTCAGACAGCGCTGAGGTTAGAATTCTGGCTCTGCTTCTTTTTAGTTATGTGGTCAAAGGCAAATTGCTTAGTATCCCTGATAACAGTTTCTCATCTGTAAAATGGGTACTACACCATTGTAAAAGTAGTTCTGTAGTATATGTAATAATATATGTGAAATCCATGTATTTTATTACACCATTATAAAAGTAGTGTCAGTTCTGTAGTATATGGAACAATATATGTGAAATCTATGTATTTTATAAATATATATATGAAATTGAATGAGATTTCATATATAATGTAGAATTTTGTTTCTATAACATAAGCTTATGTTTGTTCTGCTTATGTTATATAAGCAAAATTTATATAATAGGTTTCATATATAATGGATTTCACGTATGTATACATAGATTGCATATATGTAATATGAAATTCATACATATAATATTAAATATATGTCCTGTAGGAAATCCATTGTTTCTATACATACACAGTTGAGTCTTGAACAACATGGAGGTTAGGGGCAAAGACCCCCCACAGAGTGGAAAATCCACAGGTAACTTTTGACTCCCCCCAAAACCACAAACAGCCTACTATTAATCAGGAGCCTTAGAGTTGGTTGACACAATTTTTGCATGTTAACACATATTAATATGTTAATACATATTATATGTATTATATGTAACATGCAAAATACAGATAAAGGGCCCTTGGCCTCCTCCCATCTTCCTGGGACTGCTCTGGCTCTGCCCTGCTTGATGCCGTCCTCTATTTTGAGTCTTGCTCTGATCACCAACACATCCCTGGTTGGAACGATCTCCTCTGCCCCCAGGCCCTTCCCCTGTGGGGTCCCCCTTCTCACAGGGTGCCACGGTGGTCAAGGGATCTCCCCACAGCTACCAGGAAAGAGCTCCAGCTCTCAGGAATCCGTTTCACCCCCAGAGCCAGGCAGGCACCTGAGACTGGTTAAAAGAACAGGGCTATGCCCTGGTCCTTGCTCTTGAGTTTCCCTCTGGAGAAAGCAAGTTCAAGTCATGGAGGAGGGTTTATCTTATGCTTCCTCTTGGCTAGACAGGCTTCCTCAGCGGCATTGGGTCCATAGCCTCCTGCTGGTGCCCTGTCCTTATCTCTCCTCCTTGGTGCTGCTTCCCGCAGGGACTTTGTTGTCACAGTCCCTCATGGAGCAGGAAAGTCCAGGGAACAGGGCTCCTTCCAACACCTCCACAGAACTGCCCCTCGGTGAACACAAGTTGCCCGGATGTGACCTTGTCACTGTGGCGACTATCAGCCTCAGGAACAGACTGGAAAGTGGAAGGCTGATAACCCATCACAGGGACATTTGTGGGCACCGTCCTAAGGATCCACGATCGAGTGGCTTATCAGTGAAGCACACTGTTGTTTGAGGACTAACTGGCCTTTCACTCTTCCTTTTGACAGAGGAGAACAGACAGACATCATGGAACCCAGACCTCAGAAGAGTCCAGGTACCCAGGGCGTATACTCTCTGAAGTAAAAAACTATTGAATGTGACAAACAATTCTCATCAAGCTAACCAGGATCCAGAAGACAGTTTTAGTGAGGCTAAGGGGTGGCATTCGGGGACAATGATTCTTGGTATGGAGAGTGTGGCAGGGGCTGTTGTATTTGGTTCATTATTTTGTAAGAGCTCACCTGTCTAGAAATTTGACATTTTCTGATTTTCATCAACCAGCTGTTCAATCTGTTGCTTGGAGATGTTACTCAAACACACACTAGCCCAGAAAAGACTGAAGAGTATTTTGTGATTTATTTTAATTTTTTTAAAGGATGCTAGCGACCCTAATTATTTTTTTTAATTTTTTTATTAACATATAATGTATTATTAGCTGCAGGGGTACAGGTCTGTGAATCACCAGGTTTACACACTTCACAGCAGTCACCATAGCACATACCCTCCCCAATTTCCATAACCCAGCCACCCTCTCCCTAACCCCTTCCCCCCAGCAACCCTCAGTTTGTTTTGTGAGATTAAGAGTCTCTTATGGTTTGTCTCCCTCCCAATCCCATCTCGTTTCTCCTCTTTTTTTTTTTAAGATTTTATTTATTTATTTGACAGAGAGATCACAAGTAGGCAGAGAGAGAGGGGGAAGCACACTTCCCTCTGAGCAGAGAGCCCAATGTGGGGTTCGATCCCAGGACCCTGAGACCATGACCTGAGCTGAAGGCAGAGGCTCAACCCACTGAGCCACCCAGGCACCCCGTATTTGGTAATTTAGTAGGAAATTCACACTTGAAAAAACTGCCTGAATTGTTGTCAGAGAGGTAGTTCAAGGTTTATTACTCAAAGGTCCTTGTTCATGTTAACATGATTCATCGCAGGTGGGTAGTTAGGAAAGTTGAGTGTGGGGTGAAATAATTTAGAAAGCAAATTATCCAAATCAACTTAGAAGTAAACAGTTTTGAATACCTATTCAAAGCACCTATTATTAGTAAGGTCACTGTGCTTCATAGAGATTATACAGATTAAGTTATAGAGTCATTGCACTGGGTGAGTTTATAAATTTTGTTGGGAAGTTAAACACACGAGAGTATCTGTATTGAGAAGCTAAGATAAGCACAAATAATCACAAAATAAAATGTGATGGGGATCTGAGGAAAAGCATACAAGTAGTTATGGGAGTCCAGAGAGGTTTTATGAGAAGACATTGAAGCTGGACCCTACAAGATGTGTAGGGTTTTAAAAGAGATTGGAAAAGGGCACGTCTCAGCAGAGAGGGGTGGCATGAACAAAAGGCAATGGGTGGGTTAGAGGCAGGGTGTGTCAAAGGACAACGGGTGTAGAAAGTAGGACAGGGGAGAGTTGAGGATGAGGCCATGGCACTCTACTGTGCCTGACCTTGATCTCATAAGACCAGGAATCCTTGTAGCCTTTTGAGCAAGAGAAAGGCATCATTAGATTTGCATTTTAGGCTGGTCGTATTTTTTTGAAATAGCTTTTTGTGGTGAAAATGGCATACAATAAACCGCACATATTTAAAATGTACAATTTGATGAGTTTTGGTATGTGTATATACCTGGGAAACCATCACCGCAATCAGGATAATGAACATATACATCCCTTCTAAAAGTTTTCAGTTATTGATTTCCAGTTTGATTCCATTATGTTCTGAAAATATACTTTGTAAACCTTGGATCCTTTCAAATGTGTTGAGACTGGTTTTATGGCCCAGAACATGACCTGCCTGGGTACGTGTTGCATGTGCCCTTGAGAAAGGTGTTCATTCTGCTGTCGTTGAGTGTTCTATAAATATCAATCAGCACGAGTTTGTTGATAGCGTTGAACAAATTGTCCAAGTCCAGTATATCTTTATGATATTCTGCCTATTTCTTTTTATCCGTTATGGAGAGAGAGGTATTGAAATCCCTAATTGGGGATTTGTCTATTTCTCTATGCTGTTTTATCAGTTTTTGCTTCATGTATGATGAAGCTCTATTATTAGGTACGTAATTAGGATTGTTATGTCCTCTTGATTAATTGACCCCTTTATCATTATAAAAAAAAACCCTTTATCCCTGGTAATATTTTTTTGCTTTGAAATATGTTGTTAAAATAGCCAGCCCAGCTTTCTTTGGACTGCTGTTGGCATAGTATGTCCTTTTGCTGACCTTTTATTTATAACCTGTTCGTGTCTTTATATTTGAAATATGTTTCTTGTAAGTACTATACAGGTTTTTTAAAAATATTTGAGTATATAATTTTTAATATTTGAATGTATTTTTTAAAAACATTTTCCAAAAAAATGAAAAATTTATTATATTTGAATATCTTTTTTATATATTTATATATTTTTTATATTTTAAATACATTTCTTGTAAGTACCATACAGTTGGGTCTTGCTTTTTTGTCCACTCTGACTAATCTCTGTCTTTTAATTGAATTGTTTAGATATGTATACTTAATATGATTATTGAAATGATCAGGCTTGAGTCTATCATAGTGGTGTTTTCTATTTGTCTCGTTTTTTAGTTTGTTCCCCTTTTTCTTCCTTTTCGCCCCTTTTTTAACTAATTGAGTATTTCTATGATACTATTCATCTTCTTTCTTGGCTTATTAGTTGTAACTGTTTTGTTATTTTAGTGGTTGCTTTAGGGCTGATAGTATGTATCTTTAACATAACCCAGTCTATCTTATTACAAGTGATATTATACCAATTCGCATACTATATAAGAATTTTACAAAAGTATACTTCTATTTTCCCTTTCTGACCTTCATGCATTTTACTTATTGAAACTGTATTTTTCTTACACATATGCTACAACCTGCACAACATATTGTTAGTATTTTGTTTGAACAATCAGTTGAATTTTAAATGATTTAAAAATAAAAAAACAATTCAAATATTTACCTCTCCAGTTACCATTCAGTGTTCTTCATTTATATAAATTCAGATTTCCAGGGGCACCTGGGTGGCTTAGTTAAGTGTCTGCCTTCAGGTTGGGTCATGATCCTGGGATCCTATGATCAAGCCCCACATTGGGCTTCCTGCTCCGTAAGGAGTCTGCTTCTCCCTCTCCCCACCCCTGCTCATGCTCTCTCTCACTATCTCTCTTTCTCTCAAATAGAGAAATGAAATCTTAAAATAAAATAAAAAACAATTATTACAAAAAATATTCACATCAGAGAAAACATATGATAATTATCTTTCTCCAATTGACTTATTTTGCTTAGCATAGTACCCTCTAGTTCCATCCACGTCATTGCAAATGGCAGGATTTCATTAGGACAGGGTGTTGTGGGTAGGGAGGGAAGAAATGAGACAGGATGGGCCCGGGGAGGGAGACAAACCATAAGAGACTCTTAATCTCAGGAAACAAACTGAGGGTTGCTGGGGGGTGTGGGAGGGGATGGGGTAGTGTGGCTGGGTGATGGACATTGGGGAGGGTATGCGCTATGGTGAGTGCTGTGAATTGTATAAGACTGATGATTCAGAGACCTATACCCCTGAAGCAAATAATACATTTTATGGTAATTTTAAAAAATAAAAGAAAATAAAAAGGAAAACAGGAAATAAAATTCAGATTTCTACTGATACCATTTTTTTTCCCAGCCAGAGGACTTCCTTTAATGTTTCTTACAATGCAGGCCTCCTGTTGATGAATTCCTTTAGCTTTTGTATGTCTGAAAAATGTCTTGAAATTGCCTTTATTTTTGAAAGATATTTTTGCTGCATTTAGAATTCTTGAACGACAGTGTTTTTCTTTCAGTACTTTAAATATGTTGCTCCACTGTTTTTTTGGCTTACATTGTATCTGGTGAGAAATCTAATATCTTAGTTTTTTTTTTTCCTTTTCCTTCTGTGTACATATTCCAAACACCACCACCATCCCTCCACCACCAGCTGATTTTAAGATTTTTTTCCTTTATCACTGGTTCTGAGCAGTTTGATTACGATGTGCTTTCATGCCATTTTCTTCATGTACCTGTGTTTGGGGTTCCTGACCTTGTTGGATCTGTGGATTTATAATTTTCCTTAAATTTATAAACTTTTTGGCACTATTTCTTCAAATGTTTTCCTGTCCACTTTCCCACTTAGGGATTTTATTACTTATATTGTAGGCCACTGAAATTGTCCCATGGTGCACTGCTGCTCTGTTAATGTTTTTTTATTCTTTTTCCTCTGCATTCATGTCGATAGTCCCTAGTACTTTGTCTTCACGTGCACTAAATCTGCTGTTCATGCTATCTGTCCTGTGTTTTTGTCTGTTTGTTGCTGAGACATTGCAGTCTTTACCTTTAGAAGTTCACTTTGGGTCTTTTTGGTATCACCTGTATCTCTACCTAATTTCTCATATCTATAAAGCACAGTTATAGTAACTGTATTTATGGCTTTCTCTGGTTATTGGAACATCTGTGTCAGTTCTAGGCTCATTTCAATCAATTATTTTCCCAATTATGGGCCATGATTTTCCTGCCTCTTTGCATAGTTGGTAGTCTCTGATTCATTGCCGGACATTGAAAATTTGACCTTGTTGGGTGCTGTATATTTTTGTATTTCAATAAAACCTTGAGCTTTGTCCTGGAAGGCAGTTAAGTTTTTTGGAAACAATGTGATCCTTTTAAGGAACAGTCCTCAGCCTAGAGATAATTATCAGTCACAACTGAGTCAAGATCTCTTGAAGCACCCTACCCAATGCCCCATAAATTATAAATGTTACCAGTCTGGCTGGAGGGAACAGTTAATTCTTCTGGTTCTGTATGAGCACCAGACACTGTTCCCTCTAATCTTTTCTTGTGGTTCTTTGGCCTCGGGTAGTTTCCTCACACCCACATATTGATTTATATTCCTGAATACTTAAGAACTTGATGCATGTTTCTATGATTCTTTGTGTGATGCTCTTCCCTCTCTCTTCCCTCTCCAGCACTCTGTCCTGTGAACCCTAGAGCCTTGATCTCCCTGAACCCTTAGCTCTGTCTCCTCAACCCAGCCATCACCTGGTTCCACCTCAGTTCCCCTTTCCTGTGCTGTAGCCTGGAATCTCTCTCAAGGGGATTGTAGGACTTACTGGGATTGTTTCCCATCTCTTACGGATCAGTGACATTAGCTGCCCATGCTCAGTGTCTTGAAAACCACTATTTTATATCTCTGTCTGGTAGACCCAGTCTCTGTTTTTCTGTCTTTGCCCAAAGCCCTAGATCAGTCAGATTTGGTGTTTAGTCTCAAGGGTATGTCAGGAATGGATTTGAAGATGTCAAGACTGGAATTAGGGGGTCCAAATGGACAGCTACAGAAACAGTACAGTGAAAAACATGCAAAGTTCTCGAATTCACACGAACTGAAACATACTGAAGCGTCTGAAGATCTTGAAGGCGGTGCTGATAGGAACAGGGAAATAGGGATGGATCCCAGAAGTATTTGGGAGGTGAAACAGGCATGATTTAATCATTGACTGGCCATAAGGCTGATGGAAGGGTGAGAGCTGGTGATTCTTCAGCATCAGTTCTGGAGAAAACAGTACCATTGCCATGGTCAACAAACACTATCAGAGGTTTTGTGCCCTGGAGCTGGTAGTCTGTGTGAATACTGGGGACACCCTGGGAATGTCTAAACTGGGCAACGTCTTCACAGATGTTTACTTTACTTTATTATTATTTTTTTTATTTATTTGACAGATCACAAGTAGGCAGAGAGGCAGGCAAAGAGGCAGGCAGAGAGAGACAGGAGGAGGAGGCAGGCTCCCTGCTGAGCAGAGAGCCCGATGCGGGACTCAATCCCAGGACCCTGAGATCATGACCTGAGCGGAAGGCAGAGGCTTTAACCACTGAGCCACCCAGGCGCCCTTACTTTACTTTAAGATTCTGCTACTTGTAGGGACACCTGGGTGGCTCAGTCAGCTGGACATCTGACTCTTGATTTCAACTCTGGTCATGATCTCAGGGTTATGAGATTGAGTCCCATGTCTGTCTCCATGCTGGGTATGAACCCTGCTTGAGATTCTCTCTCCCTCTCCCTCTGCCCTTCCCCACCTTAAAAAAAAGATTCATCTAATTGTATACAATGTTATTAGAGACTTCCAACACCAAATTTTCATAAAATACCTACATCCCTTGAATCCTCTAAATTTAGTACCACCAAAGAGGACCTATGTTATAGGCAGATGAGAGACTGGTTTACCGTGCAAATGACAAAGGCTAAAGTTTCTTCTATTATTAATAATAGCTACTCTTCAGTGAGCCCTATTGTGTGCCTGGCCCAGTGCTGAGATATGTCCATGTATTAACTCCTTCAGTCCTCACCACAAATTCATAAGATCAGTGCTATTGTCTCCATTTTACAGATGAGGAAACAGAGAGATGGTGATCCAAGGTGCTCTACAAATACTTATTCAGTAAATAAACCTGTATTCATCCAAGGCCACATGATGATTTTAAAGAAGAGCTAATAGCAATATTGTTTCCTTCTCTTTTTTTTTCTTTTCCTTTTCCAGTGTGTGTGGGGCGTGTGTGTATAGGGATGAGGGATGGGAAGCAGACAGAGTTGCTTCAGAGGGATGAGAGAGAGGCAAGGTTAGGACAGCTGCCTAAGAATTACTCAATTCTGTGGACACCTGGCTGGCTCAGTTGGAAGAGTATGTGACATCCCAGGGTCATGAATTTGAGTTGGATGTAGAGATTACTTAAATAAACTTTTTATTTTTTTTAAGATTTTATTTATTTGACAGAGAGAGAGAGACAGCAAGAGAGGGAACACAAACAAGGGGAGTGGCAGAGGGAGAGGGAGAAGCAGGTTTCCCACTGAGCAGATAGCCCAATGCAGGGCTCGATCCCATGACCCTGAGATCATGACCTGAGCTGAAGGCAGACGCTTAATGACTGAGCCACCCAGGTGCCCAATAAATAAACTTTCTAAAAAAATGTTGAAGAAGGGACACCTGAGTGGCTCAGTCGGTTAAGGATCTACCTTCAGCTCAGTCATGATCATAGGGTCCTAGGATGGAGCCCCACCCAGGGCTCCCTGCTCAGTGGGGAGCCTGCTTTTCCCTCTGCCCCTCCCCCTGCTCCTGCTCCCTCTCCCTCTTTCTCTCAAATGAATAAATAAAATCTTAAAAGAAAAAAAACTATTCTAAAAAAAGTGTAAAAAAAGAATTACTAGAGAGACGATAGCATAATAGCCCCATCAACTATGCTACCTAATCCTGACTCTGTTTCCACTTAATATAAAAGCTCTATCTAACTCTTTAGTAAAGTCTGTCTTTTATAAAATCAAGGACAAACTAGAACAGCCTGGATGTGAAAGCAAAACCAAGCTCTTTTTTTAAAAAATAAATTTTATTATAACAACATTATGTTTTTCTAAATAATAAAAGTAGTGCAGATTTCTGGAAGCCATTTTTGAAAATACAGGGGGAAAAAAAGACCCTATACATTTCAGTACTTGCTGAGAAGCAGTTAATATTTTGGAAACCTTGTGATTTAACCAGTCTGTCACCTCATTTTCAATAGCAGGTGGTTTTGCTTTTGTTTGCTAAGCCAAGGCGAGGCAGAATTACCCTGCTCCTCAGCCTGGTTCTTCCAAGAGTAGAGACAAACCTTGGCTCACAGCTAGAGAGCCAGCAAGGTGCCCCCAGACGCTAGAGCTAGACATTAAGGAGCTTCCACATGTCTTCTGAAGGAAGACCCTGATTGTGGACAAGTAAGAGGAACCGTGGTGGTCCTTTGTCTTCTTTGTTTTCCTGGCCCCATTAGAGATGTTCTTTCCCATAACTGAATAATTTGCTGACCTTTCCAGAGGTAAATAGTGTTTTCCGATTGCAGCAGTTCTCTTTTCCAAAATTTACAGGAAAAAAACTGAATCTGTTCACTTTCTTTTATTAGGCAAACCATTGGCATTTTATTATGAAAATGAAGTCTGCAAACAAGATTACTTTATTAAATCCCCACCTCCTCAGCTTTTCTTCTCTGCTGTAAGTGTGCACCATGATTTAACAGGCCTCCCACAGGCGTGTGAGCATTTTAAAAATCCTTTCTTTTCTTCCGAGATTTAACTAAGATGCAAAATGGTTTCGGTTTTTTTTTCAGTCTTCTTGGAAAAGGCGGTTTTTCATTCTTTCCAAGAGTGGGGAAAGGAGCCTTCGTCTCTCCTATTACAAAGACCAACATCGCCGAGGGTCCATTGAAATCGACCAGTGTGTATCCAATTGAGAATACAAACAAGTTGCCTGCAAATCGAAATTTAAATCATTGACTGAAAGAACCAAGGCTTCACATTCAACAGTAGTTGTTGCTGAAAAGAAGTTAAAATGAGGAACATTTTTGAGTAAAACATAGCAAAATACTTATTTTGTATTGTATACTATAGTTCATAAGTTATTACTCAATAAGCATCTAGTTACAAAAGATTTTGATTCACTAATTTATGGATGAGGGCTGATAAAATCACTTCATAAAGTCAACATGGATTTTTAAAAAGTATTTAGATTGGCTTTTTTTTGTCTTTGCTTTCAGAAATTTTGTACAAAAAGAAAAGTAGAAAACATGATACTTTGTAGAACAAAGACTCTAACCGAAAAAAGAATCTCTGAATTAAGTTTGAGGCTAAGTAAAGTATTCTCTATCGGTGGTGAACCAGATCTAAACGTCTTTTCTGAAATTATCAGACATTGATCAAACAGATCTAAATTTTATTCACTTTGAATCCTAATATGAAACGCTAGCCTTCATGTTCGAATCTGTTTAACACTTTGTGTCTGTATCTGACAGGAATTCCAGTGTAGAAGTTGGCATACATGGCCAGGAAAAAATGCAATCTGTACAGAAGATGTTTAAATGTCTCCCTGATGAGGTGATGTCCATACGAACTACTAACAGGGAATACTTCCTCATTGGCCAGGACAGGTAAGTCGTAAGACAGCACAGAATGTTTCCTGTGCGCCCAATAAAAAATAGACACACAGACAAATGAAACATTATAAACCGATAAAAAACACCCTTTGATCAGAAGCACATGGCTACACCCTTCAAGACCATCTTGATAGTCTTCCCCATTTGTGACAATATCTTGAAAAATCCCAGTATTCGTTTCCTAGGGTGGCCATACCAAAGGACCACAAACTGGGTGTCCTAGAACAACAGAGATGTATTGTCTCACTGTTCTGGAGGCTAGGCATCTGAAATCAGGTTGTCCCAGGGCCATGCTCCCTCTGAAGTCCTAGGGAAGTTCTGTTTCAGGTCTCTCCTAACTTCTGGTAGTTCCTGGACTCGTGGTAGCAGAACTCTAAGGTTCACACAGCATTCTCCCTGAGTGTGTGTCTCTGCATCCAAACTTTTTATAAGGACGCTTGTTTTATTGGATTAGGAGGCCAGTACGATGTCATCTGAACTAATTACAGCTACAACAACACAACCCGATTTCCAAATAAGGTCCTATCCTGAAGTACTGGGGGTTGGGACTTCAGTATCCAAATTTTTGAGGGGACACAATTCAACCCATACCCCTATCACCATCACCCCAGATGCACTTCATGTGAAAGGACCCAATACACTCAGGGATGCCTGGGTGGATCCCCTGGGTCAGCGTCCGACTCTTGATTTCAGCTCAGGTCACAATCTCATGGGTTGTGAGAATGAGCTCCCTGTGGAGCAAGGAGTCTGCTTGTCCCCCTCTCCCTCTGCCTCTTCCCACCACCCCCCCACTTTTAAATAAATAAATCTCTCCCTCTTTTAAGTAAATAAATAAATCTTAAAAAAAAAAAACAATTCACAAACAACTATACAAGCCGCCTATGTTAGGGAGGGGCAGTACTCATCCCTGAGGGGGTCTTCAGTTTTTAAGAGGGGCTCCTGGCGCTAGCAAAGTGCCTACTGGATCCTTTATAGATGATCATCTGCTTGGCAGGAAGGCCAGGGTCAGGGGAGGAAGAGGAGGTAGCGAACGCCCTAAGTATGAAGACCCTTGATCTGTTGCAGATGAAGCCCAAGGCCAAAGGCTCTCTTTTTACATGGTCGTGAAAAGTCAATAGAAAAGACGATGTGATTTATATAAATGCATTCAAACCCATTCTTCATAAACACATGCCTTCCCCGAAGGGAGGCATACCAGAATAGCTACACAAAAGTGGCACTGACAGGTGAAGGGGCTCGCTTAAGAACACAAAAGAAATCAGTGTCAAAGCCAAGAGCTCCAAACCCTGTGATTATTACCATTATTTTCCAGCGTTCTTCCCCCATTTCCCTGCGCTCACCTCACAGAGGCGGCGTGAAGATTAATTCTAGTGCACAAGTGTGGAGGTGGTGAGGAGTCCGTGGGTCATTGAAGCTATTTCAGAAAAAAAATCTTTATTTCCCTGGTACCTGCTCCCACTGCCTGTTCCGACCTTAATAAAAGAACCCTTCTCTGGTTCAAAAGGAACACAGGTGCTATTGTTGCCACACGCCAGCTGCGAGTTTATTCCTATCGACAGGGAGAAGATTAAAGACTGGGTCTCCTTCGTGTCATCATTCTGCCTCGGGGGAGAGACAGCACGCCACAGCCCACAGGTGACTCCCTCCCTCATGAAACGCCTGGGCACACGAGCACACCCTCTTTCACGAGGAAACAATGGTAGCTTTTTCTTTTCTTTCTCAGCCACTGGCACTAACATGAGGAATAAATAAGTGGGAGAATGTACATCCTTGTCATTTTTATGAGTAACAATAGGAAGAAATACTTTTGTGTCTTGCAAGACACTTCAGGTCTTCATTACTGGGGCCGGAGGAGTGAAGGGGAACTGTGGCATCATATTAAGAGTCGCTGAAACTAGAGTATTTTCCATCATTGTTATGCTAGGTGCATAACGGCTACCTTTTGAATGACTATGGCTAGGGTGGTTTCTGTAAAAATGCTTTTTCCTATCTCTTGCGTTTTCAATGCAATATCTCTTTCATGTAAAGACTAATAGGTTTAAGTGTTTCATTTACTTCCCAAGAACCTTCGCGAATTTACACGAGTCCTTTCTTAGGGCAGACTTTTATAAATGAAACTCAGTCTCTAGGCATTGTTTTGACGTGTTTTCTAAGTTGTTCGATGCTGACAAAGAAAGCGGAGGCTGAGAAGGAAGGAAAGTGAGACGGGTCTATGAGTAAAATGATTAGAGTCAAGGGGTGGGCTGCAGAGAGGGGTCGCTTTGGAAAAGCGGGTCTAGGGAAACTCAGGGCATCTGAAGGCCAGGTTGGGAGTCCTCAAAGGTTTGGAAGCTGCAGAGACGCACGATTGCGTCCTGTCTTAGTGAGAGAAGGTTGGCTGGGGTAAAAATGTTCGTGGTAAAAGACAGGAGGTAGGAAGCCCAGACACAAGGCTGTTGTTTAATTCCAGGGAAAAGATCAGTCGTGCCCTGATTGCAATATTTCTTTTCCGTAAGCAGGAGAAATTCTCTCTGAGCGGTAAAAGGCCCTCTTCAGACCCCAGCCCTCTCCTTGTTCCTTCCAGCACATCAGATGCGGTCGGCCCCACCACACCGAGAAACAGTCTTCCAGACATGGTAATCAGACTCCCGTCTCTCTCTCTCCTTCTCAGACGCCTTGCCTGGGGGTCCGCGGATGCTTCAGAAGTCTTACCAATGTATCTGACACTTTGCTCTAAGCCTAACCCACCATAAGAATGACTCTTAGCGCTAGTGATGGTCTTATGTTCAGTCTGTTTCTTGTACCACAATGAGCCTTACTGCTCTCCCTGCCTACCTCGAAAGGTACTCATTCTGGGTGCCCCTCGCCCTGCATCCATGTATGTGAGCTGGGGAGCCCTCCAGCTAACCAAAAGCCTGGCTGCCAGCCTTTTCCTCCCTTTCACACAGAGGGCACAGAGTACCTCTGTGAAAAGATTCCTGAAACACCACTTGGTTTTCTGCCCTATCATCTGTACTTCTGGGGGAACACCAAGGTTCTTGTTAATTTCCTTCACTTACCCAGATCAATCTTGCTTTCCTGTGTGTGTGTGTGTGTGTGTGACTTCGTCTTTCTTTCTAGTGAAATCCATTTGAGGGGAAAAAATGCACCTGGCCCTTGAAACTGATTTGTGATTATACTCTCTGGTTTGCTCAGATTTGTAATCTTCCCAAGTCTGGATAAGTGGGCTGAGTAATTGTTTGTTTGCTTGCTTTTTTTTCTGCCATGGATACCTTTTGTCCTTCAGAGATGTAACCATTGACTTTCCCTTCTCCCTGGGTATGTAGCACCTGTGAATACAGCATAAGCTCCTGTTCTTTCTAGCTGGAGCTCTCCAACTATTTTAAAAGCTTTCTATAGTGGATCAAATTCACCAGGCCAAACACCTCATTTGATATTTGCAGGAAATGGGTTGCAAAAGATAACTCTTTTCAGTAAATACCTCTTGTTTTTCACGCACGATATCCCTCTCCCTAAAGATAACATTGGGGGTTGTCTTGCCTTTTCACACGCTATGTTCCAACTCCGTGATTTTTCACTCAGCTCCGGTTACAAGTACTGTCTGCCTTGTTGGGGCTTGTTGTTGCCCAAACTAAGTGGGAACCCTTCTTTACCCCCAGCTCAGCGTGGTCTGGCTTCATGATCTTGGCACCAGAGAAATGGACACAGTTGAAAGGATTATGTTTTTAAAATCCCTTTCCTTCAAGGACTTCTTAAAACACATTCAAGACCTTTTCAAAACCCCCTGCTCCCAGGCATTGTTCTTAGAAGAATTAAGTTGTACTTAGAACAATTCTCCTGCCATGTACAGCAGCTACTTCAGTAGACTATCCTGTATCTGCTGGGGAGGGAAGGTGGTAGTTGGTTGAACCTGCAATACCTTGAAGACTATAATTCGTGCTATCACATGATCAACATGAGCAAATTCCATTTCTATGGAAACAATAGAAGTATGTGAGCAGAACACAAAAGAGGAATATTGAGCAGGAAGAGGGAAGGTGTGGTGCCTTGACCATGGGCTAATTACCTTCTCAGATGGCACTGGGTGAAAACTAGCAGGTGCGGGTGGGGACCTCCATGGCAGAGCTAAGTGCCTTTAGAACACCACTCCCCCAAACTCCCCCAGCCCCGCCAGAGTGAACCACTTGTTCTGAGTTACAGATCCCAATTGTAGAGAAAGCCAGAAAGATGGGCTTATATTTTTATATCACCAAGGTGATCCAGATGCAAGAGGCAAGTTCAAGTTGTGTGGGCTTCTTCTTGTAACCTTGGAAGATCCTCTGATCTTCTCAACTCAATTAATCTAGGATGGCTTTTCCAAAGAGCATATGGTTTAATTCTGTCCCCCGCAAAAAGAAGAGAAAGAAAGAGAGAAAGAGAGAGAGAGAGAAAGGAAGGAAAGAAGGAAGGAAGGAGGGAAGGAAGATAGGAAGGAAGGAAGAAAGGAAAGAAAGATGGAGAAAGGGAGAAAGAAAGAAAATAATTAATTCTGTCTTCATCTCTTTATCCAGCATTTAATGGAAAAAAATTCTCCAGGACTCAGACAAGCCCATTTACTACATGATTTCTTGTCAGAGACTACAGAAGATACAGAAGAAGAGAGTTATTATGTTAGTCCTAAAAGCATTCTTTTAGAGGTAACCCCCTCCATCCATTAACCCTTCATTCCTTGTACAGATATTTGCTGGGTCCTGGCTGCGTGCTGTTCCTGAGGGACTAGGTGGGCTTCTGTGGAACAGAGCGATGAATGGGGCACAGGTGATGTGTCACAGTGTTGACTCTTGAATAGGAGCACCCAGGAGACCAGACAGAAAGGGCTCCGTGCTGATGAGATGCTCGGAAAATGCATGGAGTGCACGAGGGAAGGAAGGCAGGGGAGGTGATTTCCAGAGAGAAGACCACGTAAAACTGAACTAGTAAGGCTGGTAAAACTAAGCTAAAAGGCCATTGGTAAAAAGATCCCCCTCCCTGCCCCCGCAAATTAAGTACAAAACTGTGCAGTAGAAGTTCAGAGAAGGAGGAGATATATGGGTGAAGGCAAGGAGGTCAGAGGGGGCTGTGGGACCTCACAAAGCCTGAACACAGCTTCGTCAGGCCAGAGGGCAAAGGTGCCATCCAGGTGAAGCCAGGGGCCTGAAAGCTGGCCCTGGAAGTCCACCATTTATAGGGGAGCAGCGGAAAAACTGATTTTTCCAATTATGGGTTCATGATGAATCTGTTAGGCAGGCAGCTAAAAGCCCTCAGGGTTCTGGATCAACCATTTCCCCCAGTGACTTAGTCATGAGGGGTTTGTGGAGAGCCTCTTGGGTTTGGGGGGGGAGGATGTATTTCTAGGACTTCTGCAGCCCCCTGCAGCCCTGTGTTGTGTGGAGTCTGGCCCAGCCAGGTGACAGGGTCCTCCAGTAGCACCGGCTGGGAAAAAGAGTTCATATCATTAAGTGCCTGGTGATGAAACAGAAAAATAAATGCAGTCCAGCAATGCAGTCCAATAAAACGCTATATTGGGAGCATGGGGGAATCCAGGAGGAGGAAACAGACTTGGAGTTGGAGAGGCTTTCCGAGTCCAGTCTCCTAGAATGAATGCCACTGTTCATCCTGTGGGGGATGTACTTACCATTTCAGGGCCCAGGGCCATCATGGAAGGGTTAAGAGGTCCCTGGCTATTGGTAGACTTGCGGTTACGGCCATTCTTCTTGTCTGCAGTTGAATACTTCCGTTGCTTCCAATGACTCTGGTGAATCTGCCAAGGCTGACAGTCTAGACCAGTTCTCCGAGACAACTGAGAATCACTACATGTCCATGAAATCCTAGTATGTAAAATTGCCGTGATCTTAAAACCGATTTTTAACCAATGCACTCTTTTAGAACCATTACTGTTGACATATTAATTCAAAAGCGTTGCCATAGACCAAGTCACTCCATTATTCCATAGTCTCAAAACAAGAAGACATGAGAATGATTTCTCTACCTCCTGAAAACCATTGAGTGATCACCTCAGACCATATTCTATCTCCTGGGGAACTTATTTTCTATTCTGAATGTATACTCGCATTCTCCCTTCTGCGCTCTAAGTCCTCCCAATGTCAAGGGTTATTTTGACGCCATTTCCATTTTCAGAAGAAAAGTCTGTCAAGTTTGATTCTGTGATTCTGAAGGCTAGGCATACTTGAAGACCTTGTTAGTTTTCACAAGGCTCTTAGCTACTGAAATCTGATTCACAGACCATAGAAAGCTGTAAACAGACCTGCTGAAAAAGGGTATTGTATTAATTTCTCATACCGTAGTGTTTTCAGAGAGATGTCCCACGAGACTGCTGATAGCAACAAGGAATCCCAGGCCCTTCCAGAGATCCAGAGCGGGGGACTTCACTTACAAGAACAAGACTCACAAAGTGACTCTTGTCTTCCACCTGCCAATATGGAAGCACAGACCGTGAATGACAAAAAGGGGTTGGCCTCGCTTACTGTTGTGCAATTATCTATTCTAATCAAGTAAAGTTCTAATTTCTAAAACTTTATGGGCCCTTAGAGCAAGGCAGCTTTTCTTTTTTAACTCAGAATTTGAATTTTAAAGTAATTCCTAAAAATCTCCAAGTCAGCCAACATTTTGACCAGCTTCCCCTTCTCACTGATGAGGACAGTGAGTAACAGAGCTAGAAGTAAAGCGGTCCCCTCGGCTGTGGGTAACATTTTCAAATATTTCTAAAAATTCTCCCCTGGCTAGTATTTCAGGCCCTGGAACTTTAGATCACGCTGAACTAGGTAGTGTGTCCCCCAATGTCTATAGTTAAAATTACGGGCACACAAGTTGCATGGTGTCTGGTTATAGAATGGGAGGGGGAAGGGATAGGCTTTGAGTGATGCCAAGAGTATTTGATGAGATTGTTCTCCATTTTCACTCTTCCCATTGTCATTTCTATGAATCATTTCCAGTGGAGAAATGAGCAGATAGATGTGATATATTATCAACTTAGTCCATTTTTTACTCTACTGTCTGCCATGCACTACCACATTCCAAGAGGGGTAGGGAGGGCATTAATGAGTAACTTAAATTCATATTCTGCAAATCTGGGGGGCAATCTTTAACTGGAAAATACCATCTTAGATGTAAGAGGGCAAAGTCTACTCAGGAAGTCAGTTCAGAACCAGAGACTATGGCCTGATGTGACTTTTACAAACATTTTATCTCCTAGTAACATCCCTGATGAAGGCCAAGTGGAGCAACTAAATGTGTTCCTTTCTCCTTCCGACATCATCAATTATCTCACTCTCACAGAAGCCGCAGGTCAGATATGGTAGGTGGGAGATCTGAGGGTTCTTGATTATAAATGGGGTGGGAAGATAGGGAGACAACAATTGTATCTTGAAACTCTGTATGTGGCAAAACCGAGAGCTTGGATGGTAGTGTTGCTTTTATCACCAAAGGTCTTTGGTTAGAGGCAGAAAGAAGGGTGTTGCTGTGGGTTGCAGATAGGAGGACCCAAAAGTCCAGTAAGCAGCAAGTTTCTAATACTTGGAAGGTAAAGAAAAGCAGAAAGGAATAGGTATGGTCCAGGGAAATCATTCTGAGCAATGACTATGGGATAAATGAATGAAGTGTGTGAAGTCAACAAGAATCTAAGGTCTAAAAGAAAGGTAGGACCAAGGTCAAAGACTTCCAGACATCTCTTGGTCAGGGACAGAAGCAAAAGAGAGAATTTTCTTAAAATCAGCACTGTTTATTTGATTCTAAATCCTTTTAAAACCTTTGCAATTTGTTTGGGTGGAAGATTACATTTTTACAAGGGAAGAAACCCCTTTAATGTAAAGGGGTGACAAGTTCTGTAAGAGGGCAGGAAACGCGATCTTCCAATTTTTCAAATTTCCTAACAATCTCAGAGGTTCCGTAAATACTTGACTGAAACTGTTGACTTCTCTGTGCCTGGGCTTGCTCATTCCTCCATTCACGTATTGTTCATTAGATAGTCATTGTGTAATCATCACGTGCTCCCTTTCAGTAAATACCTATTAAGCATCTTCTGTTTATTTGGAGTTACGTGGCTGTAAAAAAATATTTTTTGAAGGTAGTGCTATCCTTCTGGGGTCTCATAGCCTGGTGAAAAAGACAGTCACATAAACAAGCAAATATAAAATGCATGTGATTTAAATATACAAGGAATGGGTGTTCCCACCGTGCAATAGAAGTCCCGGGGCAGGGAGAGTCATTAAAGGAAGGGGAATGTAGGAGGACTGTGTAGAGACGGTATGATTAGAGTTGGTTTTGGAAGAAGGGTCGGGTCCAACAGTAGTGACAGATGAGCGAATATTTCGAAAGAAAATGGAGTTTGTCTGCATCAGATGTGGTGCACAATAGCTTAAGAAGCTGGTGATGGTCATCAGGGAACCCTAGTCTGTGTCCTGCGGGCACAGTCTCACACTTGAGTTGAATGCCGTGTCTCATTGCAGTGTGGCTCAGTGGCAAGGCCCCCCACGCCTGGGATGCTTATTTTTTCACGGAGATCATCTTTTGGCCGTGAATGACCTGAAGCCCCATGGCCTGGACGAGGCCTCCTTGTTTCTCAGCCGGTCTGTCCAGAAGGAGGTGAGTCCTGCTGCCCAGCCCTGGCCAGGAATAAGACCAAGGTCTTGGGTGGAATCTAAACAGTGCATGCAAATACATGCAAATGACAGAATGTTATTTTAGAAGCTTTTCAAAATTGTTTCATATAAAGGAGTATTTGGAGAGGGCCAGGGGTAGGAGACTGAATGTCAGGGTCCAAGACCTCAGACACAGCATGAGGTGGTGGAAGGAGCTTGCAAGGGAATCCCATTGGCTCAGGGTGTGTGTTCCATTTCCTTTAGCCAATTTGTGCCTCAGCTTTCTCTTCTGCAAAATTGGGGGTAAGGCTCATACTCTTTGTTGGAGAATTAACTGTCATAATTGATATCACGTGCTTACAAATGGGACTGGCCCACACTAGGCACTCTGTTGCGTTTACTGCTTTTCCTTCTCCAACTATTGGCTGGGGCATGTGGGCCCGGGTCCCCTTTTTAACTTTTCAGGCTCCTTATCTCAGAAATTGGCCTCACCATATCTTCCTCACAGAGTTATTGGAGGAACTAAACAGAAACGTGTGAGTGTGTATTAACTATGTATGTTCTCAAAGGGCTAGCCATGGCTCTGCCTGTGGGTGCTGGTTCGGTGGGGCAAATTCTTTCCCCGGCCTATGTTTATTTCTAACATGCCACATAACCTTGGGAAAATCATTTTCTTCTCTGGGCTTCACCTTTGTCTCTCTATAGTGAGATAGTTGGTTTTCAACCTGTGCTCCTTGGGCCCGTAAGACACAAGGACTTGAGGAAGAGGTGAAGAAGGGGACAGTATGTACATAAGACTTCAACAAGAATAATCTACATTTGTCATTTATCTGCTTCCTACATTGGCTCTGTTAGCTCTCCCGGAAGAAACATTTCCTTGGCTTAAAATTCCTGAAAACCACTGTGCTTGATGATCTCTCCAATTTCTTCCAGGGTTTACAATTCTTATCTCTTCTGCATTACACAATAACCTCATTGGTTAACCAAAAAACATATCCATATTCTCTAAATGGGGAAATCCAGCAAGGGTGAGGGAATTATCTAACGGACATAACTAGTTAGTGGCAGGGCAAGGACTCATTCCTCCCTTCAGTCACTCATTCACCATTGACTGAACACTTCCTTTATGCTGGATCCTGGGCTAAGTCCTAGAGCTACATAAATGGCCTCAGCCAAAGCTTAAGGAGCTCACATATTATGGATCAAATAGGCACATTATATGCTAGTTACAGTACAGTGTGTGCTTTAAGATGTGAACAGAGGGCCATGGGAACAGAGAGGGAAAAGGAGTGAATCTATCTGAGGAAGACCAGAAAGGCGTCTCAGAGAAGGTGGTGTCTGGCTTGGGTTTTGAAGACCGGAAAGGAGTTTGGAAAAGAAGTAGATGTCAGGGGCTCAGTCCAACAATCAGGGGACTATAATATATTTCCTTGGCCAGAAACCTACCCTGCGGCCAAGTGTTCAATATAATCTTCTGAATGTTACCAAACAGTACTCTGATCCAAAGAGCTAGGCATCAGCTCTGAAGCCAAAAAGAGGGGTGGGTAGGGTGTGGAGAAGGGTTTGCTGGGGAGCAAATGCAGGAAGTTCATTTGGGCACTCCTAACTACAGAGTACCAAGACTTCCTTTCTAGACTGTGAAGCATCTTGTGTGGGAGGCAACAACAGCATTTCTCCTGTGCTGACTTTGCCTGTCCCTTTCTATTGGATAACAATTAGATGTTACGGAGAAATATGGGACGTTCGCCAACATGGTTATCTGGGAGATCAAAAACTTCTACTTTCCCATCCCCCCTCCCATTCCTGACTATTGTTTATGTTAAAATGGATATCCAGTTCTCTTTAAAAATTCAAATAGCTGGTCCTTGGAAGGGAAAAGAATGTTGGAAGGAGGGGGATGTGTGGAACCAAAGGAGGGGCAGCCAAGGGCCCTAATTGTTTTAGAGCATTTGGACTGACCCCATCCACTTTCCCTCCTGTTGGGCTACAGTTGAGAGACGAGGAGGTTGGGTTGAGGACAGGGTAGGGACATTGAGAGGAGGCCATGTGAGATTTAAAGGGTTGGGAGGAAGGGGTGTGTATAAAAAAAAGAAAGGAGGAGATGCTAGATTATAGGGGAGACACATCAAACTTTAATTTCCCCCGATCTTGTCCGGGGCTTGTCCAGCCTTGTTTGTGCTGGTTTTTTATGGTTTCATCTGGATTTTCTAGTTTCAAGAGGCTTTTACATCTTGGTACAACTGGGCCCATCGGGTCTACCCTAAAGGCTCAGGCTGGTGGCCGCCAGAGAGTAAAATCCATCCTCCACCTGACTATGTAAGTCATCGTGGTTCCTCTGGCCAGATTTTGTGGTTCATGGTAGGATTCTCTTCAAAACCAGCTTCAGAGGGTGTTAATGAGGACAGACTGAGAACAAACAATCATAAGGATAATCTTTAGTCATTTAGTTTCCTTCTTACTTGTGTTTTAGAAAATAAAACTCACCATCGGCCGGATCCCAAATTCGGAGAAATTTCATGCTGTCTCCTGCACGTGCTCCTTAAAATATGAGCGTGTTGTACCTTGTCAACTGGATAAGTCTGGACCTGGGAAGACACTGAAGAGGAGTCCGGCCATTAGAAAGGGTCAGTGCAAAGGAAGTGGAGAGTAACAGGCCAAGACCCGCAGAGGAGCAAAGAGGGTCCCTGGACTCTGCAGGGGCTCTGCCCCTCACCGCTGTGTGAGATGAGGCAAGTTAACACAGCTCTCTGATTTTCGGCATCTCCATCTCAACGGCGGGGATAACTCCCCTCTCTGGCTATTTGCATCCGGGATGTTGAGAGGGCCAAGGGTGGTAATGACTGTGGAACACAGAGGAAATGGAAGGCCTCAAATTCTCAGACTTTGTCCCACACACCACCGAGATTGGGCAAGTCCCTCATCTAAGATGAACACGGTGTGTTCTGTGAGGCGGTACCCCATGTAATCCCTTCTCTGTTGGGAACATACGGTTGGAAATGCTCATTCCAGGAATGCAAGGTTCCAGAGAGATGTGATATCATATCAGTCCTCCCAAACACCTTCTGCTCCTTGTCATGCCCTTGATCCAAAATGCCAGGCAGAGTAGCCTCTTGGACTCAATAATTATCTTGTTTTCTTAAAGACCCAGTAACTATTCTAGAAGTCAAAGCAGTTTCAGGTCATATACAGTAAAGATCTCTTTTCTCTACAAGGAATTAAGGCAATGACTTAACACTTCTGAATTTGAAAGGTTTTAACTAATTGATACAGTAATTGATCCTACAGGCCAAAAACATCAAGTCTTTTTTCATAAACAGGAAAACGGAGGCAGAGAGTGAAAGGACTAATCAAATCTGGGAACATTAGAGCATAAGGAGGTTTCGGGAAATATGTCTTACCACGTTGTCATTTTGTGCCGGAAGACATCAAGGCCCCAAACGTTTAATACAAACAAAACAGAAACAGGCTCATAAATACAGAGGACAAACTGGTGGTGGCCAGCCAGAAGGAGGGGACAGGAGAAGTAGGCAAAGGAGATTAAAAGGTACAAACTTCCAGTTATCAAATAAGGCAGTCTCCGGGATGGAGAGTGCAGCCTGGGGAATAGAGCCAAGATACCACAATAATATTGTTTGGTGACCACACTTACCTGTGGTGAGCAGAGCGTAATGTACAAGATTGTCGAATCACTGTGTTGTAGGCCTGAAACTGACAGAACACAGCATGTCAGAAAGGAACAAGAGTAAAACTGTATCCTCTGTGGTTCCCAGTTCCATAGCTGTATAGTGGCAGAACAAGAATCTAAGAAATCTAAGAATCTGAGAAACAGATGTCCTGATCTTCACTTTGTTTTTGGACTGAGGTTTGAAAAGACCTTCAGCAGACAGAAGACATATCCAAATACAGATCTGTTATCCAGATTGTCTAAAAATCCTTACCTCCTGTTTCTTTTTTTAAGCTGGATTGAAGACTCTGCTTTCTCCCTAGTTTTATTGAAATGTCATTGACACATGGCATGGTATCAGGTCAAGGTATACAACGGAATGATCTGATGTGTGTGGATTCACCTACTGTTTCTACTTCCAGAAATCTGTCCAATGGAAATACTCACCCAACCCAGATTGCTCTGTAATGTTCACTGCAGCACTTTTTGTAATAAAAAATAAATTCTTTAGGAATTGCTTAATTATGAGGACTTCCTGGGAATCCCACTTCCTGGGATTGGGTGCTCTGAAGATGTTAAATATTCTACATGTGAGTCACGGAAAGATGTTTGCAATACAGTAAGAATGACAGAAGCAAGTTGCGGTGCGCCTGGGTGACTCAGTCGGTTAAGCATCTACCTTTGGCTCAGGTCATGATCTCAGGATCCTGGGATTGAGCCCTGCATCCAGCTCCTTGCTCAGCAGGGAGCCTGCTTCTCCTTCTGCCTCTGCCATTCCCCCTGCTTGCGCTCTCTCTCTCTTTCTCTAAAATAAATAAATAAAATCTTAAATAAAAAGAAAAAGAAAAAAGCAAGTTGCAGAATAGCAGGCACGACATCGTCCTATTTTTACAACAATAAATTATTGGTATTTACATATATGTATCTGTGTATACAAAATTTCCCCAACCCTAATAAGAGAGAAATGCCTAGCTCCTCTGGTTGTCGTGAGGTTTAAATGGGTGAGGTGTGGACGGCAGCTAGGACACTGCCCAACACGCAGTGAGCGCTCAGTGCTGGTTATGCAGCTACTGCTTTGACAATGCTGTTTTCGGTAACAATCATCTCTGAGAAGTAAGAGCACGGTTGGTCATGTGGGGGAGGCATTTCTATTATGTTTGAATTTTTTTTTTTTTGCAATGAGCATGTCACTTTTATTAAAAAAAATACAAGTGTGGAAAATAAGTAAATTTTATATATTTATATAAATATATATTTACTATATAAATATATATTTATATAAATATATATTTCTTATTGAAATAGATTTATATTTATATCTTATTTACATTTATTATATAAACATACATTTAAATAAATATGTTTCTATAAAAATAGAGAATTTACATAAATATATATACTTTTTTAATCTTTAAAAGTAAGAAACCAAGCCACTTCAGGAAAGGAAATGCGAAACCATCGAAGTAAAACTGTCCAGCAACCAGCAATGTGGGGAGATGACACTCCTTTGAAGCCCAAAGGTCCTCCCGTTGTTTGGCTCAGAAGTCTACACCACAATGCTAATAAAAGCTAAAATTAGATGGACAGAGCTTAGCCACCAGGCCCTAAGCCCTTCCTGGGATGAACTAAATCCTTACCAGGCTCTTCTCTGCCCTCCAGCATGAGAGCGCTGTGCCAGCCCTGGGCCCGCCGGCCCTCCTATTGCAGCCAAATCAGCTGGGGGCATGGTAAGCTGGGGGCATGGTAAGTGGGGTCCTGCTCTAGGGGCTCCTCCCACTTGAGGGCTTTGCTTCCAAAAGGAAGCCTCAGGGCACAATCCCAGATTCCCCCACCCACAACCCAATCTGATTCCTTAGGTCCAGGGTGGGCCCTGAAATCTGCATTTTAACGGCCACTTCCAGATGATTGGATTAGGTGGACAAGGGACCCTTGAGGGGCAGCAGTCCCAGGGTCATGGTAAGAGGCAAAGTGGCTTCGGAGAGGCTGCAGGACATGGAATGGACACGTGGGTGGTTTTGACGGGCGAGGGCCCACAGTTCTCAATAATTCTGGAAAAGGCTAATGGTGGCCACCCCTTGCTTCCTCCTCCTCCAAAGAGACCTCTGTTCCAGAGGTGAGAAGCCCAGTGTTGCTCCTTGCTCTTGGTCCCGGGGTGCGGGGGTGGGAGATGTCCTAACCAGGGCCTGCCAGAGGCCATGGGACCCTGACCCTGCTGCCACAGGCCATTAGATGCAGCTGGCATTGGGTGGAGACAGGAACCCGGTGCTTGGCTTCCGGTAAAGCCATTCCTGCAGGCCATTCCTCCTCGTCAGCCTTTGTTCTTCTGTGCCTCCCCTTCCCCAAGCCAGGGGCCAGCCACTCTCCCCCAGGAGGCAACCTAGGTCCTTGCCCAGTGAGGGGCCTTTCTTCCTCCCAACAAAGGTAGTGACCCCAAGGAAAGCCGCTGACTGAACTGGCCCGGAAGTCTGGTGATCAAGGCGTGTGTCCCCCAGCTTTTGGAGTCGTCTTCTGTCCCTGGGCTGAGAGCTGGAGGATGGTCTGCTGAGGTGGAGGCAGGTCTCCAGGCCAGGGCTGAACAGACGTGTGCCTCATATAATTTCCCCAGAGCAGAGAGGGTGGGACAGACCGCCTCACACTGCCCCACCGCAGCCACATCCACACCCCTCCTCAGTGCATTACGCCACCTGTGACCTCTTTGCTTCCAGAACTGTCTTGATGTTCATTCTAACTTTGTTCCAGGCGGATAAACATGGGCAAAGGTGGGGCTAGGGCCCGCAGAGTGACTGACCCTTATCCCCGCAGGGAGGCCCTGTTCTAGGCATACTTGTAGAGGAAAGGCAGTAACAAGAACGGATTATAAGCTATTCTGGTGCAGCACTGCAGTCTGGCTGGGGAAGAAACCAGAGCCCAGACATGGGAAAGGGGCTGAGCTGGGCTTCCTGAGGCCCGGGCCACGCCTCCAGCTCCCAGGCCAACAGCTTCACCTCAAGGCCTACACCATCTCCCTGGGCGCTCCCTCCTGCTCATGGCCTCGCGCCTCTAGAACCCACACCAGAGGGAGTCTCTGTCTTCCCACCTTGTCTCTCTGCTGAGGACACAAACGGTTCAGTCGATTTTAAACAGCAGCTGGTGAGACATGCAGTGAATGCGCTGGGCCAAACACATCCACCCTTCCTTGAAGCTGCTGACATGTTCGCGTGGGTTCCAGAAAGGCATCTGGGGTTATGTAGAGTGAGCCGCACACGTATATGTACGTGTGTGTGTTGAGAGAGGGAGAGACAGAGAAGACAGGTGGGAAATAATAATTCCTTATTTTTTAAAGATTTTATTTTTGCGCAAGAGAAAGCGAGCACGCAGGACTGGCGGGAGAGGGGCAGAGGGAGAAGCTGGCTCCCCAGGGAGCAAGGAGCCTGATGCAGGACTCGATCCCAAGACCTCGGGATCATGACCTGAGCGGAACACAGACGCTTAACCCACTGAGCCATTCAGGCACCAGGTAACGATAATTCTTTACTAAGCTGAGAAGCCAAGCCCACGATGGCCCCCGCCCCCCACCTTTCTCTTCAGAGCTGATGCCAAGAGAGTTTCTTTTAGGATAAGGAGAATTTAAAGTATCATAAACAGGCCCAAAGGGAGAGGCCTTTCAGATTCAGAATGTGGATTAACTCAGAGTTCTTTAGTGAAGCTGAATTTCCAGATATGCAAGAAATGTGTTTTATTGCAAAAACTCTTTAAAAGGGTCTGAGTTAATGGATTCTTTGTCTAATGGTCAAGGATCTGGAAGAATCTCAGAAGGCATTGTCAATACCAACTCTGGCTAGATGGTTCTGGAAAACTAAGGGTTTATGGAAATCTTGTACTCACAGTCCTGGACTCTGGAGCTGTCCGATTCGGTAGCTACTAGCCACGTGTGACTTTCACAATTTGAACTAACGAAAATTAAATAAAATTCAAATTGCATTTTCCAGTTACACTAGCCACATTTGGAGTGCTCAGTAGCCCTGTGTGGCAAGAGGCTGCAGTATTGGACAGCATGGATAGAGACTATCCTCTCAGGAGGTCCTGGCGGACAGCGTGCTCCAGAATGTCAAACCCCCAAGAGGGGTAAACAATTTACATCTGTCTTGTTCACCATCATGATCCTAGCATGTAAATACAGTGTGTCATTCATGATGAGTGCTTGACCAATATATTTGAAAGAAGGAATCACTAAATTTGGGGTTATATTATATAATTCCTAAGCATTCTTTTTGATGGTGTTTTCAAATACATCAGTGATTCTGATAACCTATCTTTTGGGGGTACGGGGCCAGATCCAATTGATTTTTAAAGCCAAACTGTGGGCCTTTTTAAGGTAATCTGTTTTCTCAAGAATTAGCAGATTTCTCCAAGTAAATTGACTTGGGAGCTGTAGAGATATACACACACACACACACACACACACACACAAACACAAGATCTAAAACCCTTTCACAAGAGTTTATGACATGGTAATGAAGGGAAAAATGACTTTTTGTAATTTCTGGTTTACCTGATGTCATTTGAGGAAGCACTATTCCCTAAGTTTAATTTTAAAATTATGTTCATCATCTTTCTAAAACTTGCCAGCCCTTTCTTCCCTTTCTCAACTCCTCTTACTCGGGGTCAAGGTTGTGGTATTCCTTCGCCACACCCTGCATATTTCCTAAGGAGTACTGAGACCTGAAGACTATCTCCTTCTCTACCAAGTGATCCCGGATTGCTTGTGTTCCTGCTGGGGGCTGGGGAAGCAGACGGCGCAGCTTGTTTTAAACCTACGCAAACTAAGAGTCAATATAGGCTCTGAGTGTGAGTGATCTTGTGACTAATGCCCGCTCGCTTCTAGTGTAGGGTTCCGTGACACTGGTGTGGGCTGCTCAGTTCTCTTGACAGTGATGTCTGTGGTGCTGTCATTTGCTTGCCTCTGGGTTTCCAAGTGTGGTCCGCGTGGGTGAGACTGCCAGGAAAGTGATCAGAAGCCAAGTACAAGTACTCGGTGAGAAAAAGTAGAGAACAACGAACTACCAAACCGTGTGGTGATGCAGGCGTTCGGAGAGGCAAGCGATGATGGTGGAAAGGAGGGCTGGTCGTGGCTTCCGTCCAGCGTGGCCATGCTACGGAATCTTACCGCAGCTTTGTAACACCAGAGGTACAGTCACCCCCATGTTTTGGATGGGTCAGTTAAAGAACTCGTTCGTGGTTAGTACATGACAGAGCAAAGAGTTAAACCAGATGGATTAGCTCTGGAGGCCGCAAGCTGAGCTCTACACCGTGCTGAAAGCCTCCTGGAGAAGGAGGTGGCTTGAGCTCCTGAAGAGGATAACCCCCAAGGCTCAGAGATGTAGACGGCGAGCCTGGAGCTCACTTTCCCAAGGAAAACAGGGAATGTGTAGAATGACTCAGTTTTCTCATCCACCACTGGTTTCAAGAATATCCATTCATCTTCTGGGCCACTCGCCCAGGAGAACCTTAAAAGTCCACACCGTATGTTTCAGGAACCAGGA